TTTTGGAGCCTTGCTCTGATACAAACTGATGTGAATCCACGTAACAATTGTAGCTACGAAACCCATGACAAATTAGAACAACCCAATAAAGTCAAGAATTAACGTTTGAAAAGTTCAACCCAATAATTATTGAACCAAGAACCAAGACAATTGCTAACATTATCTTTGACCTGTGATCACAAAATTTATGAACCTTACTTGAATTTGTAGAATGCGACAAGAATTTAATCCTCGATAATTTCGAAATTAATTTAATGAAAATGAGAAGAAAGCAAATTTGCATCGCAATAATTTCTCAATAATTGCGTTTACAATGAATATAATGAGTCCTATTTATAGGGAACCCATAAAACCTAGCAAAAAATAGAACTTAAGTCTTAAAATATCAAAAATATACCATATAAGAGTTTTAACTAATATAGAAGATTACGCGAAAATTGAAAAAAATCGCGTCCCACTTTGAACAGTGCCGTCGGATAGGTGTAATCCATGCAATCTCATAAGCCTTTCTTCAGCCTTCAGTGATGTTTCGATAAGGACCTATGTGGTCACATCTCTCATACAACTATGCAGTCGTATAGTTGTCCCGAATAGCTTCTTCGTCCGCTGCTTTAATAACGTTGATCCATCTGGTTTCTTCTTCCGAACCCAACATGAAACTTGTTCATTTACTTGTTGTGACAATAGTTGGAATTCGTCATCCTGTTAGAGGTCTACAGTCCCGAGTGCTCTTTGTCAAAGCAATAATGGAGAAAAGCCCTTACAACAATTGGAATTCGTCGTCTGTTGGAGGTCTGCAATCCCGAGTGCTCTTCGTCAACGGTCAGTTTAGATCGATTTTTGTAGAACGGGTGGAGAAATGGACTATTTTTTTTGTCCAAGGAGTGAATTGAATGTGTTTTAGTCGGTATGAATCAGCCATGGGTGTTTCTGTCTTTTTTTATTTTTCATTACTCACGAGTTTTTATTCAAAATTGCGCCAGTTGTCCATTCGGTAGACCTTTATGTAAAGGTTGATGTACTAGTAGCATTTTTCTAAAATAAAATATAAATAAAGATGAAAAAATTGATCAGTTCTTGATGAAGTGAGGCACTTTATGAAGTGGAGGTGAGGATGGCGAGGGGAGAGCCCAAATAGGGGATCATCTTGCACGTGGATGAGGCAAGGGAGGTTGTAAGTAGGTGGTGGCAAGGGTGGGGGTGGGAGAAGTACAGATTGGTGTTCCCTATTTCTTCGGTAATTACTATCTTTATCCATTTTCATTTTCCTTCTATTTCTCTTTTTTATTTAGTTTTCATTTAAATTAAGTAATCCCACACCAACTTCACTCTTCAAAAAGAAAATGAGAAATAAAAGGCTAAGGCCCTGTTCTCTTTG